AATGCGCGCCGTGTGCGAAGTAGGCACCTGTATAGCAGTGATGTCGAATGCTACTAGCACTAGTACTAGTACTAGTACCAGTACTACTACTACTACTACTACTACTACTACTCCTGCTGCTGCTGCTGCTACGACTACTACTACTACTACTACTACTACTACTGCTACTACAACTACTTCAAACATGTCCCGCGAAAGTGAGGGCGAAAGTCCCGCGAAAGGAAAACAACAATCCGCGAAGAAACCATTTCCGGAAACAGGAATATTGATCAACGCTCATGTGCATATACAGGTCTTCTGTCTGCACATCAATACATGCATACGCGCCTGCATGTTTGCATGCATACAGACAGGCATACACACACACACACACACAAGCGCATGCGCACGTACGTACATAGTTGCAATAGTTACGTACACATGGGTGGTTGTCAAAATTATGGTCCCTTTTTGGGTCCTTATTATAATACGGCACCTATTATTTAGGGTACCCCCAAAGGGACCATAATTTTGACAACCACCCACATATTTATGTACGAACATGAGTATGATTACGTATGTACATGCATACATGCATGCATGTGTGCTTATGTTGATCCATGTATGCATACACACGTACCTGCCTACCTACCTCCATGCCTGCTCGCCTGCCTGCCTTCATACATCCGTCCATGCATAGATACACACAACCATACATTTTTTTGACATGACATTTGTGCATTTCCTGGGTTTCCTTGCGTCTCTGCATACTTATCTTTTCTACCAGTGTCTAGTCCATCTATCTGTGTATCTGCCTGTTTGTCAGTCTGTCTATAAATAGAAGAGTGCACACCGAGTGAATGTGTCGAATCAATGCACAAATTACCAATGCTTCGTGGAGATTTTTGTCCGAGCCAGGCCTGAGCTGCTGAGCCTATCAGAGAAGTGTTCGTCTGCAGCTAAGAGCGGCGTTCGGAAGTGTGTGGGTTGCGGCTTCTGGGGCTGGGGCTCGGGGCGCGATTCGAGAGCGCTGTGGCTGCTTCCGCAGGAGTAGCAACAGCCCACGTACGCATGTGCCCAGTGACTGTGCATGTCACAACTACTCGGCTCAGTGTCTCCCTCGGAGTCACCAGATACTGAACCACAGTCACCGCAAGGAAGGAGGAGTGAGAGGATGAATGTGAGGCTCAGTGTTGAGTTCTGAATCCGGGGCACTATGGGGTTGTGAGGTCCGGACACGTTTTGCCACGGCACTGCAGCACTGCACTGCTGCGGCCAGTCAAGCAAGATGTGCCATCGCTGCCGTGAAGTCTGTTCGAAAAAGAAATCGCTGCGGAGGCTAGTGCCACAAAGGTGCAAAGCAAGACTGGGGAGTCGAGAGTAGGTGAGCCCTTGTTTGCTTTGTGAATTGTGATGCTACCAGTAAAATCATTGGCAGTCTGAAGTACTGCGGCTTTGCACCTGAGGCTGACACAGAAAGCAGATGTCTATGCGCTTGGCATCATCTCTTATCAAGTGTACACTGGTCAGGACCCGCGCCTTGAATACCAGGGTCCGTCGGAGGATATCGCCTAAAGTGTTCCAGCGCCCTCGCATGGGCAGAAATGGTTGGTACCAGGAGCCAACTAGGAGTCCATCTAAGACTGATGCGAAATGGCCTGAACGTGGGTCGGTCCCTTGTGGTGAACCGTCTTTGAATCTTGCTATTTCGTCCTAAAGGCCAATGTCTCATATCTCGTGTTTATTCTGTAACTATATAAAGCGGAGTTCCTTCCATGGCTTGCCCAGGAGCCCTTCGCTGGATTGTCAGCACCGCAGGTGGCGGATGCCTCGGACTTCTTGCGTCGACTGTCTTGGTGTGGGTTCCTGTGGTTCGGGAGTTTGGCTAAATGCCTGTGTTGCCTGGAGCTTATCACAGTAGGCACCCGAAGCGCGACTGGGACACAGAGCAATCCGAAACTCCGCTCAGACCCGAGACCCCAGACTCCCGGGACTCCAAACCCGAGAACCCTTGGAGGTTATTCAAGTCGCCCGGGGCAAGCGTCCCCAACTTCCAAAAGAAGCCGAAGCCTCGGACAGCCGCGATTTAAGTCCGTGTCTACAGCAGGCACTAGTATCATGTAATATCATGCATGCATGCATGCATGCATGTATGTATTTATACATGTACGTGTGCGTGTACGTTCGTAGATGTATGCATGTTTGTGTATGTGATAATGTATGTTCCAGGCATGCATTTTGTATGTATGTAAACTTCTATGCCTGCGTGCATGTGTACATGCTCGTAAGTTCACATGTATGCATGCATGCACTGCATGTATGTCTAAATGTAGGCAGCTATGTACATAGGGTTGCCTGGGCGCATATACATGCATTATATATATATATATACATATGGTAAAAACCCTTACCCCCTAGTTTCTGGCCTCTTGGATAGTACCTTCATAACCTGCCTGACATTTTGCCTTCTCTCTAGCCGACAAGTTACCCATATGAGGGGATCATGGGTTTGTGACATTTTTTCAGCCCTGGGGTTTTTCAGAAGTTTTCGCAACTTTTGTTGCATGACCTTGAAGAGTATGGTAATTGACTGGGTAGTAAATGTGCGGAGGGGGCACAGGCGAGTTTGTTTGTTCGTTTGGAAACACGCATACGCCGCATATAGGCATGCGCATGTACCCAAGATGTACCTATGCATACCGCCGGGGTTGGCTGCATAACACAAGAGACAGGCATGGGGCTAGGACGGAGGACAGATGGAAACACCAATAGCCAACGAAAGCGACCATGCGCCCTTGCGTGTGGTCAGGAGCCGGACTATCTATCTACATGTATATATAATTGTACACAAATACTTATATTCACAGATACAACATATACCTTATATATATATATATGCACATGTACAAATACACATGTTGCATTTTACACACATGCACGCACACACACGAACTCAGTTACTCCTTCTGTCTACAACGATCCTGACACTTGGGTTTCTCAGACCAACATCAACACAAGGATTTGAGTTGAGTGAATGCTTCCTTCCAAACTTTCGCACGAGGCTCCTGAAAGCCTGGTCAAGATCTTCCAGGAAACGCTGGCCTCGAATCCTGATGCCCGGTCCACAGACATAAGCGATTGATGCTCCTTGGTCCTTGGTTCTTAAGTGAATGCTTCAGGAAAGACCAACCTTCGGCGTGCTCGTGGACAGGCTGACGCAGCTCTACAACGAGATGGGTGTGAGCCCTACTGAATGTCTGCCAGCTTTACAGTGAGGGATACTCGTAAGTCGCAAGGCGAACCAACCTGTGCACACAGGTGGCGCCGAGACGGGAGTGGATGTTCCTGACGCGTGCCCCGGCTTTTCGCACAACTTCCAAGATCTGCAAAGGCTGTAGTTCTTCGAACTGGGCTAGACAGGGGTTTTAGTAGTTCGGTGCAGCTTGTCGGTTGCCATGTCGGGTCAGCAGACTCAATGCCCTTTGGGAGCCTCGAGGTATGCCTATCGGAAAAGTGAGACCTATCCGCAAACTATGCCAAGAAAGGCAAGCGAAGTGACCCTTGGGTGAGTTGCCCCTCTAGTACTGGCCAGTCGCTGCCAAGCAGCACCTGGACTGTTGATGCGGGGGTAAATCTTGCTCAGCGTCTTGATATTCAAGCATGTATTTAGCTGGAGACGTCTTGGTATTCTGCAGCCCTATGATGGCTGCGGCATCTAGTATTAAGTATTAATTCCAAGATGCCACCACGACCGCGAAGTGTAAATCAGTTCGCCAGAAGCTCGACGAGATTGTGCGAAGACCTGCGATCGTCGAATGTCTTGCCCAATCTGCTGATGTCGGGCCCAAGTCGCTCTTCGCAACGAGACATGTATCCTGTTGAACTATGTCTGCAAGAAACACCCAGACTACCCTGCAACACATCTGAAGTCTCCGGAATCTCTGGAGCATCTGGAGCCAGAGGCAGGAAGGTGAAGCCCGGGGATCTCTGCAAAAGAGCCGCAAAATACTTCGGTCCTTGACCTTGGGGGTGTAGCTTTGGGCATCGTAAGGTACCATTCTGAAGACTTCATTCTGTGATACCTTGACCCCGCAGGCGGGCATGCGCCAAAATGTGCCAAAGCGCGACGCATTGGCTTGTGCTTCCAGGCCAAGGCTTGGCCTTGAGGTAAGTGCCCTTATCAAGGGGGGGGGCCCTTTGGACTTTAGACTTTAGACGTTAGCAGTATCAAAGTGGCCCTATGCCTCACTGTGCTGGTGGTCATGTTTGTCACTTCTTGAACTCCCATAAAATGCTGAATACTCTACTTCAGCCTTCTGAAGAGCATGTCCACACGGCTGAACTTCTGGGCCTCAGCGTGTGTCGGTACTGTCTTGGAATCTCCAGCACTGATTGCACGAGAAGCCCTGTGCGCAGGTGGGGGCATAACAGAAGTCCGAAGTGCCCCTGAGGAGGATGCTCCTGCAGACAAGCTCTCAGACCGTTTCGTATGTGTTATGAGAGGACTAAAGTGTTGAAGAAGCTGGTTCGGCTGTGTCTCGTACGACAGCCTCTCGCACAGGTTGGCACATTGCCGGACTGCTTGCTGAGAGTCCAGGTTGGGGACCCACTTGGTGCCACAGAAGCTGACTCTGCAGTAGACTGTAAACACAGGCGACGGGGACATTTCCGTGCTGAGGTCCCTCATCCAACAACGGGTGGCTGGTGCCGTGCGCCAGAGTTTGATGGCATTCCGTTCCCAATGCCATCCAATGCCTGTTCGGTTCCGTGCTTGCCGTTGAAATGGCGTTGAGGTATCTCGCCTGAAGATCTGCAAAGACTCCAAGCTTATTCATTTCTGAAGGACATGAAGTTTGCAACCACAAAACCGTACGTTCAGACATGGAGATGTCCGTCGGCTGTCCATCTGCAGGTCCTCACCCACACCCCACCTGACAAGGCCCCTTTCCAAGCTCAACTTTGCATTTCCGGCGTGATGGTTCTTAGATTTCATTTCACTATTCACCTCTTATGTATGCAGCACTGCACGTGAACACCCGCACGCTGGAAGGACGCCTGGGTCTTGGTTGACGGCGAATCCGCCCGCAGAGTGGGCTTTTGGAAGGACCGTTTTCTGACCAACAGTCGGCTTTCCTTGCTTGTCTTAGCAAGTGAAAAAGGATAGCAGTGAAGACGAAGATACACCGGAGGCACATGAGTCTCAGTGAGGAAGTTTTTTTTTCCGCTGCGCTGCGCCGGCTGAGCGAGACGGGCTCTGCGAGCCGATTTGGCAGGTAGAGTTCGAATCCAGCATCTTTCCTTCCTGGGAAGAGGCCCTCGAAGCAGTGCGTGCTGTCTCTGCTTCCGTCTTCCGTACAAATGCTGGATGACAGAAGATAGACCCTTGTGGCTTGTAGTGGAGCTCGATATCGGTCTCGATATCATCTCGCAAGAAAAACTAAGGCTACGAGCCAGTGCCTGCTCCCCTTGGAGGAGGGTGACCCTTCAGAGGCTTCGCTGGACGTCGACTGGGATTCCTGGGACATGAGCACATGGCAGGAGAGATTGCAGTCCCTCGTTGCCAGAGTTTCGGATGAGGCCGGCTATGGCAGGCTGGCAGAAGAGCCATCGTGCGACTCGATCACGGTAAGGCATTGATCCACTTGCTCCAATACGGCTATGCAATCGTGGACCGACAGAAGTTTCCGCAGTGCCTCTCCCTGGGTTAAGGAAGTGCAGGGAACCTCTGTCTTCTTGCGCAGGACAATGCGCTTCCAAGCGAGCTTTGCGCAGTCGACCTAGTGCTGGTTGGAAGCCTTGGCAGCTGACACTGGCTAGTTCGAGGCAACGTTGCGGCGTGAGCTAGACACCTTGCTTGAGCTTAACGCTTAGAGCCAAGAGGGCTTGCAAGCTTCTATTTTGCAATGCTGTTGAGCCGCGGATGAAGGGTCCGGTCCCGAGGCAAGGGCAAATGTGGGACAGTCAGTCCTACTCGCTGAACGAAGGTGCTGTGCATCACAACATATGCGCAGCGACCTGAGCAAGCAAATTCCACGCAAAATCCACGCCATCGCACTGAAGCCGATAAAATCGTGCAGGAAACGACTTTGGATTATCTCGAAGCTTGGGGCTCAGCTTTGCTTCCTCAAGCACCTTGCAACAGGTGATGACAACTTGACGAGTTCATAGCACCTGCAGTTGCTGACAGTTGTGGAGCTACCGTAGAGAGCCGACGAAGTCGCGGTGGCAGATGCAGTCGCCTTCAGCTCGGTACGTCTGCTGAGGCGCGCGCGCATGCCCCAACGTTCGCAGAGATCGAGAAAGACCAGGCGAGTGAAGACAGCACTGTCCAGGGAGTCGATGGGACACGTGTCAGGAGTGAACCTTCAGCCTCTCAACACGCTTTCCAAAGTATCAGATTTAAGCCGTCAATTCGACAAGCACCTCCGATGAGATTTAAGCCGTCAATTCGACAAGCACCTCCGATGACCCATGTCCACCTTCTCCTACAGCCTGCGAATCCTGCTTGTCAGCGTAGATTGCCGTCGTGAATTCCGTCCTGTTTTGCACTTGTGTGAACTCTGCGAGTGGTGTCAGAAGTTGGCATTCGCAACACTTTTCGCAACTCCCTAGGGCCTCCGAACTCTACTTGGGCGCCCTCGAAATGATGCGTCGCTCAGGGTTTGCTTCGCACACTACGGCGACTCCCGGCTTTGAGAGGTCCGCGCCCTGCCTGGGTTTTTTGAGCACCGGTGAGCTCAATCCGCACTTTTTCCCCCGCCTTTCAGGTCTTTCCATGCAGCACTTGAGGCTGCAGGTCAACAGAGGCCCGGCGAGCTGCAAGCCGTAGCACCACAGCTCATGGACCGACGTGTTCCGAGGTAACGGAGGCTGCTATACCATGCATACAGATTCTGGCGTTTCCGAGCCTGACGGCGCTGATGACGCAGTGCAGGCAGCCTGCCCCGCCACGTTCTTGCCATGTTTGCACGTGGTTGTACCATGGTGTACCGTGAGTATGCAGCAGTACTGCCACATCAACAGCCACTAGTTGGGGTCCGGGCAGCTGAGGTGTTGCGAGCGACTGCACTTTTCTACTTGAACGAAGGCCAGGCTCAAGGACTGGTGTGGTGCAGAGTGTGTGAGTCAGAAACCGAATGCACTTGGGGAGAACATCGGAGAACGCTGGAGGTTGGCAGGAGGAGCATGGTGGCGAGTTGCGACTCTATCCTTACCCGCTGCCTCCGGTGAGGCCCGCCTCGGGCATGTTTTGACATTCGCATGCAAGTGCACTCAGAGCCCCGGCCCTGCGGTTTTGAAGGATTGCTCCTCTGAGTGGTCGACTCGTGTTATTCGAGCGTAGAGCTCGGTGGTGCTTCTGTTTTCGAGACACATCGTCCTCGGTTAGCTTGGCTCGGATATTCAGGCCGCGCATGGTCCACGAGGCCGTGGCTCAAACGTTGGTTTGCTTCAAGATACAGGCATAGAGGGCAGTGATCAGACAGAGCGATTACGCATCGATAGCTTCAGATGACGGCACGGGTCACGAGCTGGATACTCTTCTCGACGAAGGTGCTTCCGAACTTCCACATGCGGTACTGCTTCACTCTTTGGTGCCGGGCCGAGAGCTGCCCCCCATAGTGCATGGAGCTGCTTCGGAACTTCGGGCTGTCAAGTAACTAGGTGTGCAACCTCAATGACATCCTCTGCAGCGAGCAGGCGGCGAACTCGGCCTGGATGCATTGTTGCGAGTGTCAGCGAGTGTTTCAACATGTCGGCCACAAGCGGCTGGTGCTTCATGTCCGCTCGAGACGAACTTAGATCACTTAGTGGCTGCAGTTCCAGGAAATCTAGTGTCCACCAGAACGTAACGGAGAGCGGAGTCGGTGACTCTCTTTCACTTTCTCTTTCTCTCTGTGAACCCCTCTCCCTCTCTCAACCCCTCCCTCTTCTTGCAGCGGCCTTGGTAGCAGCTTTGAGCTCACCCTTGAGCTTCTTCAGCTCCTTCCGCGCTGCAGCACCTTTCTCAACGTTGAGACCATGACGGACTTCGAAGCTGCAAGCAGTGCTTGCATCAATTTTCGAAGGCGGGGTCTGTCTTCACGTTCCAAGCCCCGCCCGCGCTCGACCTGCAAAGCCGGCCTGAGGTCTGCAGGCACGCTGTCTCCGCAGCTGGAGTCGGTGCCGAGCCCTTTGCGCAGCTTGTTTTTTTCTGAGGCCAGGCAGCTGCAACATGCTGCAACATTGAGGCCTAGATCCTCGGTAAGACCCAGGACAGAAAGGCTCCAACCAGTCCATGATGAAAGGGCCCGGATGCAACCTGCTGCTTGAACTGGCTGCAGCTCAATCTAAACTGAGCTAATCCAGCCATTGCTTCCGAACGTGCTACATCTCCAGGAACTCTGATCCACAGCCTTCATTCGCATGTAGCCTTCTTTTTGGCTTCTTGGGTCCTTGATGTGCAACCGCTATGTACCACTCTACCAGTGCACTCTTTGCGACGGCAGAGTTCGTTTGGGAAAGACATGGGCAACACATAGCAAGTCCTAGATGGACTCAAACAGAGGCTCTGGGTATTTCTTCATTCCCAATGGGGTCGTGGCCTCTGACGATCTCCGAACTAGGCAGTCCTCTAGGCACCGTGCGACTGAAGCGTGCATGAATGATCGGAGTTGTTTGGCGGGAAAGATGCATAGCAAAGTGTGAGAGCTAGGAGCTTGCACATTGTGGCATCCCTAAGCTGGAAGCAGGATCGCATTCTTGAGCAGATGCAGACATCGAGTTGGTACCGAGTGGCATACGCTGTGCTGTGAGAGAGTGGCTTGGCGGCTAGTGTGAAGGAAATGCCGGACAGAGAGTAGACTGGCTTGTTGTCGTGCGTGGCAGACGAATTGTCCTTCGGCAGGTTCGACCTCTGCTGGTACGGTATGTGTTCCGAGACTGCGAGTTGCAGTCGGCTTGCAGGCGATCCACGCCAGCATGCAACAGCATGCGCACACGCGCGCGCACGCACACACACACACACACAGACAAGCGCAACTCAAACGCCAGGTCTCACGACGCAGGGCCTCAGAAGGACCTCATGCTGCAGGGCCTTTGCCTTGGTCCTTTATGCTTCTATTCCACGGACAGTCTAGGTTCCAGCTGTGCCAAGGCATCAGCCAGTATCATCAGAAGATGAAGGCGATGGCCGAATGCGAGCTTCAGTACGAGCAGCTTTTGGTATGAGCAGGAGCTCAACCCTGCTTGGTTCCGCCTGCTGCTGGAGCTCCTACCATCTGCTGCCACTGAGCCAGTCAGGACTGGACCCTTGCCTTTACTAGTTTCCCAGTAAAAAAGGGAACCTTTATTATTATTATTGTTGCAGGGCTGCTGGTGAGCCTAGTTTAGTTTACTCATGAATCCTACTGGGAACGTATCTCCCGTCGAATGCACAACTTCTGGCCCTTCTCAAGACGGCGGGTCTCGATCGTGGTTCTTTGCGCATGGCATATGCCGAGTCGATGTTCTGAGAGTGCAACACTCGTATTTCCTGTGGACAACTTTTGCACTGATCATATGGTCCTTCTCATGGCTTCGACGGCAACCCCATTCAAGAACAGTCAAACAAAAGAAGCAACCTTTCGTCACCGGCCTTCCTCCGAAGTATTCTCACGAGCTCGTTAGAGCGTGTGTCAGTTTTCTTTCAATGGAAACAGCGCCAGGGACTAGTTCTTTGTCTGGCACGATAGAAACAGGCGGTTTTATTCGCGTGCTTTGCCATCGAGGATGCTTAAGATCTCTTTACGTATATTTTCGGCGAAGGTTACGAATGCTTCTCTTGCCCGTCCATAACTCGCCCTTGCCTCTTTCTACCATTGCTCTCGCTGTCAGCGAATCGCACTGCTTCGAATGTCGTGGGATTGATGCTTGCATCTGAGAACTGCAGGACGACATGCTGTTTTTGCAATCCCGTTTATAGTACATCGGAGTATGCCATACGACAGTAAGAAGAGGCCGACAAGCGTAGATTATACCACAAACTGTGACAGTGCATCACGTTGCACAATACGTTTGCACCAAAGTGTTCTGTCATGTCGAGCATGATGCAGCATGATGTCGCAGGGAGAAGACGAAAGAGGCATCTAGCCAAATAGTTTAAATTTCCGGTATGGCGTAGGGCTACCTTGAAGTATGTCCCCGTGATAGTTCATGCACCATCGCACTGTATCATTTTGCCACATTATGCCAATGCTAACGCCACTGTGGTTTCGCATTGGAGCAACTTGAGTCGAGTCACGTGATGGGTGGCAGGGCACATGACCATGGACGATTGGGTCCTTCCGAGCTCGCCCAGTTGGTGACGTGGGGTTCCCAGCGGCATGTCATGCTCGCGGTTTGAGATGTTCGTGGGTGTTGGGTTGTGGTCGCAGGTTATTGGTGCCATTGAGGCGTCGTTTGTTTTCCTTCCACATTCATTGGTGTTTTGCAAGCGTTGCGGCCGTGTATCCTGGCCAGTATGATCACATGTCTCATGTTCTATGCAGCCACGCAAGGCAGCATTGTCTGTGGTGGGAACACTCGCCTGGTGCTACAGCATGCTGAACTGCCTGCGAGCAAAACTGCTCGAATCAAGGTAGGATCAAACTTCATGTGCATTCGGCGTGTGACTGCGCATCGACTTGCCTTCGTTGCTTTTGGCAGCTGGCTCAATCCGAATCCAGATTGCACGTTGATGAAGAGAACGGCAGCATCTCAGCAAGTGCACATCGCGTCTGAGCAAACCGTGTGTGTAATAGTCTTCAGACGAGGTACGAACGATACTAACTCCAGTAACTTTCCAGCGAATGTGCCTTGAACAGGCCCTCGGCTTGCTGAGTCGCTTGAGCATGGGCAGCTGCCCTTGCCGGTCGAAGAAACCGGCTGACAGGCTCGACGTCTCTCCAGCCATTGCATGATTTCGTGAATTCTACTGATGCGTTGCTGTGTGCAAAGTGCTGAGCCGTCGCCCAGACGCATGTCTTGAAGATCCGTTTGCATCTCCTGACGCAGGCCTGTTGAGATGCAGTTCGGTCCTTCCGCTGGCCCGCTCCCAAGCTTTAGGTGCCCCTTCCACCCACGTCGCGTCTCAGCCTGCCGCGGCAGTCTCTGCCAAGGATCCTTGTCGTCGCGCGGTCGGCCAGGCAGCTGTTGCCTTGGCACGTCTCGATCGTTTCATGTGCAAGCTCGACTCCAGATGCCCTGGGCACAGCTGAAATCCTCATCAAGTTTCTCAAAGGGCAGGGGACGGACAGTGAGGAGAGGACCTTGGAGGCTGGAAATGGCTGGAGCGTTTCCCAGACCAGACATATAACTGTCGTGACATAATGGACGTGTGTCTCAGGACATCTTAAAGTCCGAAGATGATTGGATGGAGCTGCATGCTAAGCAGACATACTTCATCGGCGTAGAATTGTTGCAGTCTGGACATGCCCAGGGCTTGCCACAACTATGTGCAGTGGATCTTCCCGACGGATGAAGCCTCCATGTTCAACAGGGCAGCCCCTATGATGACCCCCCACGCCGAGCACCCAGATGCACGGAGCCTCCTTTTAGCCACTCGCCAGATTTGTTCAATGTCGCTGTCAGGTCCAGAAGGTGTGCAGGGAGGCACGTGCGCACACACCGAAGACTCGACTCCCTGGAATCGGTGCGCGACAGCGCATGTGGACAGGACCCGGAAATCCAAGCGAACTTCGACCTTATACTAAAGAGGCCGATTGAGCCGTTCGGGTGCCCTTTGTGTGTGTGAGTGGGCTCTTCGCAGTTTTGAGTGAGGTTCCTCTCATTCCTTGGGCGAGGGTCTCAGTGAAATGGTGGACGACACTTTCGAAATCTTGGAAAGTGAGACTCCGGAAAAGCATCATGCCGCACAAAAGGCTGACTCTGAATAGCCTGCAGGCTGGAGATGAAGGCCGACGGAGGAGAGCTGCAAATCGTCAGGCAGCCGTGACAGCCGGGTTTCGATATATTATATTATATTATATTATAGTATATTTTTGTTATTCTAGTTTATTATATTATAATATTATGTGCATCCAGTGTTGGAGGCAAAACATGTAAAGATCATGCCCGGCCTCAACCGAAGGTTACCGACGCGTGGCATTGACCGCAACAGCAGCTGAAACGGAAGCACATGCAAGAAGACTGCATGTTCGTTATGTGCAATGACACAATCATACTTATTGTTTTCGTCATCATCGTCATTATCACCGTTTGCTGACAGTGTTTGTCGTCTGTCGATCCCTTGAAAGCCATCGTCGCGAGTACCATCAGCATCACCATCTTCGCCATTTCATCCTGACCATCGTCATCGTCACAATCAATGTCGAAGTGCACGTGTGCAGCGCCACCGGTTTTACTATCCTGAGCTGAGCGCGACCAGGGCCGACCACTTCAGCTCGCGGCTGGCTGCCCAGAGTTTCGCTTGAAGCAGCTCTCGCCTTGAGATGAACCCATGTGGAACGTTGTGCGGCATTCGTCGTGATTATGGTGTGAAGATGTGTGAAGTGCGGAGGAAGGGTGATGCTAGCTTAGCCAGACTGAAGTGACACCTCAATGGCACAGGGAGAGGGACTGCTGGTTATCTTTTTTCGGCGGGCGGGCCTGACCTGTTTGCCTCAACCATGTTTGTGCTGTGTGAACATGCTTCCTGCTGAACTTCTGAGCCCACCCACCTGGGCTCTTCAGAGACTCTGCCCGGTTGCGCCCATTCCCACTCTCACTGCCTTGCATTGTGCAATGTAGCATGATACGTCGTCATCGTGCCCAACCCAATATTATGAATCCAGCCTTCCGAAGTATACAGTTGCCCTTAAGCTGAATAAGCGCATCTTTACGTGACGGTGCCTGTATCCGGATTAGAGCCATAGATCTGTACGTGCACATCGCATTACATGTGTGCAACGTTTTGCATGCTGTTGCACAGCGTTTCAAAATACTTGGTACGATTGTATACTGCTATCTGCGATGGCGGGTTATGAAGCATTGTCGATGACGTTCGTTGTACACTGCTGATGTGTACACTGCTGTCTTTGAAAACATCAACATGTTTTTTTGAGAATATTGAGAGCGAGAGACGATGCTACACCTGGCGGGCGATTCTGCAACAACAGCAACAGCAGAAGCAATCACAGCAGCAAAAGGAGCAGCAGTAGCAGCAACAGCAGCAGCAACTGCAGCAACAGCAGCAGCAGCAGCGGCGGCGGCGGCAGCAGCAAAAGCAGAGCAACAATAGGACTACTACTACTACTACTACTACTACTACTTCTACTACTACTACTACTACTACTACTATTACTATTACTACTGCTACTGCTACTACTATTACTACTACCACCACTACCACTACCACTACCACCACTATTACCACTACCACTACCACTACCACCACCACTACCACTACCACTACCACTACCACTACCACTACCACTACCACACTACTACCACGACCACTACTACTACCACTCCTCCTCCTCCTCCTGCTGCTGCTGCTTTTGCTGCTGCTGCTGCTTCTACTGCTACTGTTTCCGCTTCTGCTACTGCTACTACAACTGCTA